CAACCACAAATTTCTCACCAGTAACTTGATGTGCATTTCTGATGACCGGTCGATGCCTCGACACAACCCACAATACAATGCAGTTCCACCTTGGCTTAAATGCCACATCAACGAGCTCTCATAATCCAGCATGCACCCCTATGTCACCGCATAGCCTTCCGGGCGTGCCCACTCGACACTGGCCCGCATCTATTCCAACGCACAAGTGTTATCACTGCCCCACCATATCCAGCGAAGCACCAAACAACTATTGCGAAGGAGCCAGCAGAGCGACTCAAACCAGTTCCGATACCAAATTGCAAGGAAAATGAGTGATACCGAAATGACAGAATTCCAGAATGCAAAATCACATTGAAAGCCAGAAAGTCGATCACTGTCCAGAAAGCGGATATGCACTAACATTCCACCACGAAGAACCAAAGCACCGAATCCAAAAGTCAATGAGAGCGTACTCTCGTCACCACCAACGTATGTATCGAGAGCCCTTCCTCCTACTTGGCATTCAGCGCCCAAACTACAATCACACAACTACAACTCAGCCTACAAATTGACAATGCAGCCTGTTGAAGTCAGCGGTAAGAACCGAAGTACATGAAGATGTTGGTCGTATAGACCATAGCCAAGACGAGGTACGTGCCCTCACATCATCATCCTCATCTCTCTCTCTCTCTCCCTCATCTGCCTCACCCACGTCTTCCTCCCACACGAAGACCACCACTACCCCGCCAGCTACACATCCAAGCCAAGCCCTGGCTATGGCGCTGCCCTCAGCAGCGCACTGCTTATTGCATGACTGCACGTGCATGCACACTTGCCCCAAGCGCTAAGCCGGCAGCCTGCGAGCTCACGCTCAAGCAGCGCCGCCGGTCGGCGCTCGCTTACACAAGTGTCAAATGTCCGCTCCGTAGCCCTACCCAATCCTATATGGAAAGTCGTGGGCGCGTTGCCTTCCGCTTCCTCATGAGGCCGAGTTTCCAGTAGCTTCAGTCTCGACAAAAGTGTTTGCGCCCAGGCCCGTTGAGACAGTGGCTTGGGACCTAATTGGTTATGTGTGCCCAACCACCCAGGCACAAACGTATTGTGTTCCTTGCTTTCGCCACGATGCTTGTAGAGGGCCTCTCTCTGCCATGGCCTACAACCAGGGCCTACCGGGCTATTTGCCTGTTCGGCCTGTGGGACCAGGTCGTGGCCTGACCCCACAAGCCGTGTGCTGTTTCAGTTCATTCCAATCCTGCCCGGTACCACTGTCAGTACAAGACCAGTCCAGTCCAGTCCAGTCAGTCCGCTGGCGGCATACCCTAGCTGCAATATGTTTTGTCCTCATTCTACATTCTGCACATTTGGAGTACGTGCGTATTGAGTCCGCGTCGGAGTTGCGCTGTCCCTTCCAGCTCCATCTCCATCTCCTCCCCCTTCAACCATTCGTCTTGATCCTGACTGGTATCAGAGCGGGAACGTTCCCCACCCCCACCCACCACATCCCGTCAATGTGGAAAAGTGGCAAATCCCACTATTTGGATTTTGGCCCTTTTTGCAGCAAATGGACGGAAAAGTGCATCGTGGACGGTGCGACAGGTGGCACTAAAAGAGAGGGTGTGCACAAGCGCCAAGGCGAAGGCCGCCGCAAACGCACACACCACGTGCCCACGCTGCCCCGCCCCTCCCCCGGATTTTACATATCAAGATCCGAGATGCACGTTGCTGCCAGGTTTTGAACCTGGGCAGCTGCTGGCCATGCACATGTGTAGCCAATGCTCTAACACACTGGCCATACTATGTTCATAGCTCTACAATGCGGAACATCCGTGTTGAACAGTTCCTCACGAAGTACCCTTCCCCTCTCGTCGACGAGCAGAGGGCGGGCTGCTATTTGAACMCCCCCCCCCCCCTCTGGAGGCATCGTGGCTGTTCTTGCCTGCGCACGTGGCCATCTGCAGTGCCACGTGGCAGCTTGCTGAGGAGCTTGAAGACCCCCCTGGCTAGGGGGCTGCACTACAGGCCAATCTGGGTAGCTGATCAAGATCTCAGCACACCCAAATGATGATAATGATGATGCTGGTTATTATTTTTTGTACTGCTGCACCAACAGTTTGGCAGCAGTGAAGACTCCTCTGGCTAGGGGGCTGTGCGTCAGTGCAATCAGGGTCGTTGATCAAGATCTCAACCAACCCTTGATTATTTCATTCTGATTATTATTATTTTTTTTTCTGTTGCGGCAGCAGGCTACCAGGACCTTGAAGGCCAAGATCTGGTGACCTTGTTGCTCTTGGCCAACCAAGAGCCTGGTATCATCTCTCTCCACTAACCTACTCTCCCACACCCCCCTCTCTCTGTCCCTTACGCCATCTCATCACCCCTTCTACCCCTACCACTACTTCCCCCTCCCCTCTTACACCTCTCTTCACTCATCTTCCATCATCTTTTTCTCCCATCCCATCCCCACTCACCATCTTGTACTAATCTCTTCTACTCCTCCCCACGTTTCTCATCACTTTCTCTCTCATTCTCCCACCCTACTCTCCCCCTTCTCTCCCCCAACCACAACCCAGTCATCCCCCCACCTCCCGCTCCAATCTTTTTCTTTTTCTCGCCTATCTCTCTCTTTCTTCATCATTTTTCCATTCTCCCTCACCCCCAACTTCGAATTTTCTGTTTTTTCTTCTCTTGTCTTTCTCTTTGATTCAAAATTTTCTCTTTTCTCTAAAAGTCTGAATTATTTTATCACCCTACTTCTTTGAAGTTCTTTCTCATTTTTTTTTTTTTTTTTTTTTTTATTCTGAAAATTTGATTTTTTCTGCGGCACCTCTATATCTATTTAGGACTTAGTTATTTCAGCTCTCGGCGCATATTTTGACCCCGTGGGGGTAATGAAGTGCCGTCAAAATTTTCTTTTTTCTCCATACTCTCTCCCATCTTACTTAGTGATATCTTTTGTCGGCACACTTCGACCCCATGGGGGTAACGAAATGTTGCCGAAATTTTTGAAAAATCCAACACTTAGTTTCTCTTCACTCTCCTCCACCTCCTCATTTTTTTTTTTTTACTTTTTTAATTTCCGTATTTATTTTTTTCTGAAATTCATAATTTGCAGCATTTTGAACCTTAATGTGCTAATCTTGGTCTCTCCTTCCTCTTGGCACATTTTTGACCTTATGGGGGTAGGGAAACGCTGCCGAAAATCTCAAAAAAATAAATATTATTTCTCTCTTCACATTTTGTTTTATTTAAAAATAGCTATGTTTGCAAGGAACATGAATATGGACGAAGCACAAAAATCCAAATTGCAAAATCACACTGAAGTCCAAGTAGTCAAAGCCAGAGCAGATAGCACAATGGATCCGAGTAACCATCCAAATGAGAATGATACAACAAAATCATGAGTCAATGTCCATGCCCAATCGGGCAACACCAACAACAGAACTCAATGTAGCTC